GGGAGTGAGTGCGCACGGGGGGAGGTCTGTCTCTGTGGTACGGTTCAGGCCACGGAGCAGCACCGGGCTGCACACCAGGGGATGGGGACCTCTGCTGTAAGTGAACTGTCACCTCTTAATAACACACAGAGTCCTCCCTTTTCCAATCAGGCTAACCAATGGACATTCAGCCTACTGTCAGTCTAACTAGCACACTGCCCATACATATCCACAAAACAGTTATACAATACTATTCTGATAAAAACTTTTTATAATTAATCAATGATAAATTTAGATATAAAGGGTCAAAATGAGAATTGCCACAGTAGTCAGTTCAGTTGCTGCTGTTTAGGTTTCTATGTTTCAAATGGTTAGCCCCAGCCATCATATGCAGAACTGCATTTGTTACAAGTTTCTGATTTATCTTTAATTTAGCCATCTTGTGGTTGTCTCATGTAGATATAAACATGGCATATTTGACTGGAGGTGGGGTTTCATTGGGGTGAGACCAGTCAGGTTTTGGCAAGCTCCTGAAACTCTCTGAGACCCTTCAGTTTCAGGCCCCCAAATTAGGGGGCAAAAGGATGGTAAACTAGGAAAAGCAGCATCTGAAGCAGCAGAGGAGACAAAAAGGGAGAGAAGACAGTGGAAGCTGCCCCCCCCCCCCGGAAGGCACATCTAAGTGCATGGACTGAAGAGAAAGCCATTTTGGGCAAAGAGCTGGGAACACCCCTTGCAGAGAGTGAAAGAGTACAAAAGGATTTTGGAAAATATTCTGACCAGGATTCTGAGTAAGTCAAGATGTTTGCTTTATACAAGAAAAACCTTTATGGACCTAAAGCAATCAAACAGAAAAGAGATGAGCATAGCGTGTCAGTGAAAGCAGATTTTAGATTTGTTAATTCTCTAAGCAGTAGTAGAAGTGAGCCTCCCCACATCTTTCAGCCTCGATCATGAGAAGGAGAAGAAGAGAGAAGGAGAAAGAGGGAGGAGGGGGGGAAAGTTATTTTGTGAATGAGCTGTATTAATCAAAGGCAAAGACTCTCCTGCGGGACAGTTAAATTTTAAACTTTATTTACAATGCTGATGGTTGATAATAGAATCAGAGACAAGAACTTTTGAATTTTGGAAAAGTTTTAGTCTGTGTACCATCATCAGATTGGAGGCACTTTTCTTTGGCACCCCAGTGGAGGCAACCCTCCTTCAGCCTTATGCAGCTTTGATCAGAGGGGGAGAGGGAAGGCGAAGGGCATAAATGAAGGAAACTATTCTAAAGAAGACAAAGATCTACTCCCTAGTTACCCACCCTTAATTACTGAGGCTGGAGAGAATGATTGAACTGCTAATACTTTTGCCTCGAGGCACTATCTGTTTCTTTAAACGCTCATTGTTTTGACTTGTGAACTGTGAGAACATTTTAACTAGACGGAAACTCTAATTTACTTTTTGGGTTTGCTGTGTAAACAGTGAAAGAAAAGTAAGGCAACTGGGAGGAGACCCTGCTGGGAGGAGACCCAAACAGCACCCTTAAAAAAAAAAGAAATGGAAATATGATGGCGAAGGAAAAGAAAAAAAAATGCCAAGAGGCTCACCTGCACAAGAGCACAGCCTGAGTAAGTTACAAAAGACACTTAGACTGACAAAAGAGCATTCAAGACATGTTATCTACAGAATTACAGCAATTACAAGAAGGGATGGCACAGCTATCAGAACAAATGAAAGAGAGGGACGCAAATGACTGATACTAAAAACCAGATTATAGAAGATAAAAAAGAAATAGCTAAAATAGCAAAGACCTCAAAAGAAACAGAAAAAAGAGTGGAGATCATGAATGGAGATATGAAACAGATACAATGTGAAAGAAAACAAGGTGCAATTACCTTGCTAAATCTACAAATGGAGAGAGCCAGCTCCATACTTAGATTTCAAAACTTCCCAGAACAAAAAGGAGAAGACACTGTGAAAGTGGCTACTACTTTTTTAGCCACACCTATGGAGATGCAGCCAGAGGAAGATCATAAAAATATAGCTATAGCAAGAGCCTTTATGTTAGCCCGTTTCAATATTTTTCCTTCTGCCACTTATGCTTTCTTAATATCCCTCGAGGAAAAAATTCTGTCCCTTTTGTTTAGAGACTCCTGATACCTTGTTCCATATACTGTTTCAATGCCCTGCTCATTATTATCTCCAATTTTTTTTCCTTGAACCTTGGATTGCATCTCTTTTTTTATTCGCCCAAGCCAATTCTTTGTATTTTTATAAGTGATGAATGCAATTTTTGACTGCTGCCATTGCAGGTTTTCTATCTGTAATTCTGAAACTGCCCCCTTCTTCTTATTCCTAATTTGTGTAATTTTACTTTTACCATTTTGCTTGTGCTGTTGTAGTTTGTGAATGCCATTAAAGGTTTCAGAATCAGCTATAGCAAGAAGAATTAATATAGCATACACCAGGAATAAATTGTCCAGATAAATTCATGTCAAATTCATAAGAATGACATTTTGAGGCAAAGTTCTAAGAAACATGCAAGATAATGAATTTAACATAAAAGAAAGAAATTAAGATTTTGAAATATATCCAGTGGCAAATAAAACAGAGAAGGAGACAATATGAGGAACTGACATCTCTCCTGAGAGCAAATTAAATTACATACAAATGGTTGATGCCTGAAGGTATCTTTTTCCAATTTCAATTGCAGAGGTGTTTAATTAACTCAACAATGAAGGCAGAGTATTCTATGAAAAAAGGGCAAATGGCTGGGTATGAAAAAAGGGGGAAAGGTGGATGAGAAACAGGAAGAGGAGCAATCAAGTGGACCATCGGAATCAAACTCTGAACAAAGTACAAAACCAGAACTAGAAGATCAAATGGGAAACTTCAAAGGAAAGTCCACCAGGAAAACAAAAGGATCCAAGAGGAGAAATCGCCACAAGGAGGAAAGAAAACACTAAGGATAAAGCTGGATAAAATAAATAAAGAACAGCTCAGAATTCTTTTAGCTAAAATAAATGGCTTAAACTCAACCCAAAGATGTAAAATAATTTACTAACAATTACAGAAACTGAAATTGGACATTATCTGCCTCCGAGATTTATAACATGAAAATCAAGAACCGTTTTATGAAGAAACCCAAAAAGGAACAGTAGCAAGAGAATATGTCTAAAATATATGAAATGTTTGGGAATATGTTGGGAAATGTAAAATATAGGAGGGTACTTTCTATCTTGTTGGATAGGTAGGGAAGCAGAAATTTGTTGTAGATTAGTACATGAAATGTTTTTTTTTAAATGTATTTTGCGCGATATCATTTAAACCGGAATTGTTTTTTTTTTTAATATTATGCCTGAGGTTGTAGATAAAAAATTGAGATATTTGTATTCTTGAAGGCTTTCATGGCCGTGATTCGATGGTTGTTGTAGGTTTTTCAGGCTGTTTGGCCGTGTTCCGATATTAGATTTTTTTATAATACACCTGTAGCTAGAATGCAATGGGAAATATTGAAAGAGAGTAGAAATATGGTCATCTCAAAAAGGACTTCAGAATGGGAACCAATTTATAGCTAGACTTGAAATATAGACTGGAAAGCATAGATAAAAGAATGTGAAAGTCCAACCAGGGAATGGAGAGATTAGTAACTACAGAAATTCTGGTAAAAATGTTAAGTTGTTCTTTTTTGCTATCTTCTTATTCTAGTATAATTGTATAAGTGGATGTAAAAGTACTCTCTCACTCTCTGGAAGTTTACCTTCCCCCCACCCATGTCTACTTCCCCAGCCTGCTATCCCCAATCCTATTCCTATTGAAAATGAATAAACATAAATTTTAAAAATTGACATATTTGACTGAGGCAAGCTATGCCTTCTCTAGATAGAGCTAAAGTGGGAGAACAAGATTAAGCTGGTAAATAATTATCAACAAATTTCACCAATGGCAACTGGGTCTTCAACAATAGCATCAAGTTTTGGAGAACTTCTTAACTAAGAGCTTAAGCTTTGAGAAGTGCAACTCCCCCCTAAAGATATAAATCTTTATCCCTGTCTATAGAGTATGCCTCTTACCTAAATTAAACTTTAGCATGTTTGCTCTCATCCATCCCAGACCTATATACATGTATCTGTTGCTGATTTATGTAGACTCCCATGAGCCTAGTGGGTGTCAGAAACAGTACAGGTGCATGTGATTTGCATAGTGATTCAAACTCTGGAAGACATCTCGTGATTTCATGTGGCTGTTAAATAGCACGAGGGACAAGACGGAGTCCTGTAATGCCCCCAAACCCGTAGGCATATGATGGAACACAAATCGCTCAGGACTTCCTTCTGAGACAGAGTCAACCAGGAACTACTAGAGCCACTGTATTACTGTGTTGTTAATATTACAAAAATTGGACTATTGGGCAGCAAAGAAAACCTACAAGCAAGACTTCCCCACACTCACCTGATTGGGGTTGGGACTTTCAAAGTATAACATTTTGTATTAATCAAGTAATGTATAAGAACTGTAACCCTAGAAATGTGAAATGTAATTATACTATGAAAGTTTGAACAACGGTGAATTGCCTGTTGTCCTGAAGTAGAGGTTTATGTCCATCCTCTGAAGAGAGATAGATCCAATTTGGAAGCTACGTTTTTGTTAGCCAGCCAGTTGGCCTGAAGTAAAAAACTGATCTGTTACAGCATCTTGACATTTCTGTTGAACCAGGCAAGAGCAATCTTATATGTAGATACTCAGATGAACTTAAATTTTATTGTCATGATTATTTGATCCACACTAGTATTTAACAATTTCAGGGATAAATGTTAATTGTGTAGACTACTAAACATTCAAACTACCAAAGGGTGTTATAAAATTCTAGAGTGTCCTGAAGGTATTGCTGAAGTGATACGATTCTTGTTTGATTTATGTATACAATATATTGAACAGTGTTCCATGCTCTTGTTCGGACTCTGTCCAAATATGACATGCTTTGTTTTTTTATTGTACATATCAGTTGATTAATATGCAGTATTATTTCATTCTAGGATATTTTATACTACGAACAACTGAAGTCTAATGTGATCCAGCATGATCTTTTAGTCGACAGTCTAATTTATAAAGTAAGCAATTCTGGTTTGTACATTGACAGAAAGTTGATACATCATGTTGGTTACCTGTCTATATGTCTTTCCCCCCTACAAGCTTGTTTTTATGGACTTCAGGCCCTTTTTGTCTTGGGAGAAAAAATGAACTCTATGTTGTAGGAACCTTCAGGGCTGATGATTTACCTTTTAAATAGGTCATGGTTCATTACTGCACCCTTTAACACCTAGCCATACTGAGAGTTGACTTCTAACCTTTTCTGGTTTCATTTTGGCATGGGGTATTTTTTGTAGACAGACCTGGTGGCTCTGCAGGTTAAACCGCAGAAACCTCTGTGCTGTAAGGTCCGTAGATCTTCAGCTGTAAGATCAAATCCATGTGACAGAGTGAGCACCCGTCGCTTGTCCCAGCTCCCGCCAGCCTAGCGGTTCAAAAGCACGCAAATACGAGTAGATAAATAGGGACCACCTCAGAGTTCCGTGTCTCAGCCATGTGACCATGAAGATTGTCTTCGGACAAACACTGGCTCTATGGCTTGGAAAGGGGGATGAGCACTGTCCCCTAGAGTCGAACACGACTGGACAAAAATTGTCAAGGGGAACCTTTACCTTTACCTATTTTTGGTAGTTTGTACAACTCCAGAAGGATTCTAAGTGCAGAAAACTGGTGCACAGACCTGATCAATTTGCCCTGCCCTGCCCTGCAGTTCTAATCTGTGAACCAACCCACTCAGCTATAGCTGTTTTTGTGAAACAAAAAGAACAACTCATGCAGCTTCAAGCATTAATCTCTCATGTAATGTTTAGTTGCCTTGTTATGGTTTATTGGTTAGTCTTGGCTACTCAAGTGGAATGGAAGGAGCATGGTGGAGGATAATGATTTTTGGTCCTTCATTATACATATGTAGAGTAGTTGGCTTGCATTACCTCTTTTTCTGACAAAGTTATGCCAGAATTGGACCATCAAATGTCTTATGCTGCTAAGATGTCTCTTTTGGACCCAGTATTTTGGATCCAAAAAGGTCTGGAGTAATATGCTTACTCGGTAGTAATTTTGGCATAGGGGGCCAGGCAAAATCACAAATTCAGAGAGATTGCTAGTGATTGATGTGTATCATGAAGAAGAACCAAAAGGAAGCGTGCTATTTGAGAAGCATGAATCTAGAACTCGCATAGGTGCTAATGATTCGTTCTTTGGAATGGGTAGTATACCCTTAAATATTGCAAGGAATCCTGTGATAGCTAGAAAGCAGAATGAAAATGCATTATTTGAATTTCCCCCTCTTGCTGATAAAGTAGGAATATTCCTATTGTTCAAAAGCTAATTAGTAATAAATTATGAAAATATGTATGCCTCATTTTGTTGAATGATATATATTTCTTTTGACATATACCAACCCATAGTACTTGGAACACTCTCTGTGTGGTATACAACATAATTATGCAAGGAACATTTTATAATGATATTAAAATATTTGTCTTTATGTTAGAAATTAGCTGGCATGTTTACAGAAAAGTAATCAATGCTGTGGCATTACAATGCCACCTTGCTATGCTTATATAATGCAGGTGATTTCCATCTGCAACAGACATCTTTCGGCTTCAAATTGTTATGTTTTTTGTTTGCAGGATGTGAAGCTGACAGCCAGCAATGATGACTACTACTTTGTGTTTGAGGATTATTTGTATCAAGTAAGTAATTATTGCTGTTGTTGTAATTTGTCAGTGTGAAAACTGTTAAGTAATGTAAAGAGCAAGTTGCTCTATGAACCTTGTAAACCTAATAGAATCAATAATTCTCCAGTTATTCTAATTAGGTTAATAATGCAATCCTATGCAGGTCTACTTAGCAATGAATTCAGAAGAACCTACCTCTGCATAGAAAATATAAATGAAATTGTGACCTACGATACGTCCTGCTATACTTGAATGAATCTGTCAGTCACTATCTCATAAGAAATCATCAGTCTGTATCATTAGGTTAATAATATTTAACGTGGACAGCACTGAAACAGTAAAGCTGAAAATAACATGCAGCTGCAGTCCAACAACATTTGCAGTACTCTTCTAATGTACTGAGTTCCAAACCTGTGATAGGCAGCAGGGACTACAGATTAAGTGATGGTTTCACTACATTAGCCCTAAATTATTGAACTGAAAACTACATCAAAAGTTTTACAGGCTTACTGGGAAGGGGCATGCTTTAAGATGCAAGATATTTCAGTGCTTTATATCTGCCAGGTAATATATAAGTAATACCTTTGTGGCCTGTTCAATTCAGAGAACAATAGGAATTTCCTAAATTATTTACTGTGTACTTTCCAGCTTCACGGAAGGTTAGAGCAGTTTCTTCATGCACAAACCACTGGGAACACACTAGAGTACTGTGGCCATATCCTTAGTATTTTAAAATGTTGCTAATTTGCAGAAATAAATAAATTGATGTTTATGATTAAGGTGAGGATTTCTGTGACCTAAAATGTCAGAAATTGGCAGCATTTATTATCTTAAAATTGTTTAAATATGACTAATTAAATTTAATTCTGCTTCAAGTCCATTTGGAAATTTACTTCACTTGCAACGTGTTGAATTATCCAGATTAAATTGCAGCACTCTTTACAGTTTATCACTCATTTTCATTTATTTATTTTAGTTTTATTTTATAATGTTTTAATTTTTTTTCCTTATACAGGTAGGGTAATGTAGGGGGCAACTAGGGTAAGGATACACTCGGAGGGGGTGGATTTGAATGGACACATTACAAATCAATATTTTTCATAATAATTCTATACATTCTCTTCTAGAAATAGTTTCACATATCATAAAAATATAAACAATGTACAAGAGGGAAAATCAAATTCAGACAAATATTTTGTAATTCTAATTATTAATTATATAGCTGGTAGTATTTATCCATCATTTTAACTATCTCTTCTGCAGCCATAGCTATATATCAGTCTACCATTCTATATGCCTTGTAGCCATGTATATACCGTATTTTTCGCACCATAAGACACACTTTTTTCCCACAAAACGGGGTGGAAAGTCTGTGCATCTTATGGAGCGAAGAAAACAGATTATATTTTCCTGTTTTCTTCTCCTTAAAAATTGGTGCGTCTTATGGAAAGGTGCGTCTTATGGAGCGAAAAATACGGTAATTGCAACCAAATTTTCCGGTGATGTTTTTTGCATCTAGCCAATCTGACAGTATATCCATTTCTGCGGTTTCAAGTATTTAACCTATCACTTCATCTATTTGTGGTGTTCTAGGTTCTTTCTAGTGTTTCACAGAAACTATTCTTGCTGCTGTTATAATGTGGATAGTTAGATATGATTTTTCAGATCTAGTATATCTGGCAAGATATTTAATAGAAAAAGTAATGGTATCATCGGTATTGAAGTTTCTAATATCTCTTGTAGAATCTGGTTCACTTTACTCCAGTATCTTTGGGCGTCTTTGCACATCCACCACATGTGATAAAATGTTCCTTCTTTCTGTTTACATTTCCAGCATACAGTTGAGAACTGGGTGCTTATTTTAGCCAGAGTTGTGGGGTTCATGTACCATCTATAGAACACTTATACATATATATATTCTCTTTAAATACAACAGATTTAGTTAATTTTATATTTGTTTTCCAAATTGGTTCCCATTGATTCACTCATTTTTTCAGCCACTTTCCCCTTTGCTCATTGTTGATCACCTCAGTTTGTTTCACAATTTCCAGTGCATCACTAAGCTCCATTCCTACAGTTTCAAGGAGGGTGATTGTTTTTGATAATCCACTGAAGTTAGATTTTATATATGCCAAGTTTCCAGTCAAGGTTCCAGAAAAGGAGTATTGTGTCACAGCAGATTGGGGAGGGAGAGCCAAAGTAGGAGCATTTTCTTTGAACTTTTGTACTCGAAGTGGAGCTTTCATTAACATTATTTTCCCATTTATCTTCTCTACATCAGGATAGTTGCTTTGAATCACTTCAGCCACTCTCTGTAAACCATGTGCAAGGCATGTGATATTGATCATTTTTGGAAAAAAATGTTTAAGTCCCTTGACTGCCTTAGTCATGTATGGAGCAACATTTGTTACAGAGGAGAAGGATTCCACTTTTTACACCATCCGGTTAGTTTCCTAGAACCTTCCAAGAACATAGCAATAGTAGAATCATTTATTTTTTTTGAAGTTTCACGTGTTAGAAGAAATTCTTCACCAGGCTTTTCACATGTCAGAGTGCCAATAACAACATTATCTATGTATCTCCCATTTACACCACTTGATTCATCTATTGAAACCTATATCTTCATAGCAGGTAGAGATGTAATTTTTCCTTAGAGTTGATTAATTTGGAATTTGGTGTCCAATTTATTTCTCCAAAACTGTCTGAGGCTATCACTACCTAATTTCTTTTTGGTAATATTTTAAGTAACTGTCATTGTACAGAGATCCTTACAAAATTCTGATCGGTTATTTGATGAATCTGCAGTTGAAGAAGCAGCTCTTTTGAGATGTTGCCTGTTCTCAGTGAAGGTACATCTTGCTGAGTAACTTCTATTGCATTACAATGTTGTTGAATAGTAAAATGCTTTGGGGTGAACAACTTCACACAATTTACAAAACAAAATATCACAATCACTACTGGAAATCTGCTCCCCAAAGTCTTGAACAAAACACTGTAATTTTAAAGTTGCTGAACTTTTCAGCATGTCGAAATCAGATTGCAGCTCACATGTGATTTCCATGCCTCGAACAAACACACCTGAGTTAGGTAAGTTAGGCAGCTTTGTGACTACAGTGGGGTCTTGACTTGAGAACTTAATCCATATTGGAAGGCGGTTCTCAAGTCAAAAAGTCTGTAAGTCAAGTCTCCATTGACCTACAGTGCATTGAAAACCCATTAATCCCGTAACAGGCCGTTTTTGTTCCATTTTGGTTTTTTTCTGGTCTGTAAGTCAAATCTCAGTCTGCAAGTCAAACCTAAATTTTGCGGCCAGAGAAGTCTTTAACTCAAAAAGTCTGTATGTCAAGCCATCTGTAAGTCAAGGGTCCACTATACATGTCCCTCTCACATCATTTGGCTCATTGAGAGGTTTGCCAATGGCCAAAATATGACCAAAATACAATGTTTATTACAAAATTAATCAGAAATATCAGAAAAGATCAAAATATGACTTTCAAGGCAAAATAAAAACCATACAGTTCTCACCAGATTACTCATAAACATCTTTTAACTTATAAATGCAAATAAAAGTTGCAGAAGAATTATGACATGACATAGAAATCCTCACTATATTTATGATATATTTAGGGCTATCACTGTACCTGGTGCTTTACACAGTATCATAAGAAAAAATGAGAGGACTGTGCCAAAGACTTTACTGTCCAATAAAGATAGTAAAGTAGGAATGCAAGCAAGTGCAGTTATATGTATTTAAGTCTTACTTCAGTTGACAATGGAGATTATAAGATGATAGTGAGAGAAATGTGAAATCACTTAGGAGTTATAGAAGGGACTCCCAGAAGTACTCAGAAGAATATAAATACTACTCAAGTTAACAGACAATGTTTTGTGGTCTTCTGTCTTAAATTTTTGTATAGGAAATATTGTTTTCTATGCTTATATAATACTGTTTCTCACCCAGAACACTTGGGATATAGTAATTAAATCTAAATTAATAAGCTCTTATATTACATTTGGTTCTGTAAGGGAGGGCATCTAATTTGTGTCTATATTGCTTCTTTTAAATCTCTTTAAAGCCTATTACATTTGCAAATTTCTAATGTGCATTTAATTGCAATGTCAATATTAATGTCATGGGAGAAGCTTCTCATTTTCATGGTACTTTCAATCCAGTTAGTCACAGCTGTTGAGGTGGGTTTGTCATCTTGTTGTCTGTAGTTATATAAAGCAAATTTAAATTTTCTGATGGCTGAAAACAACCATTCCTTAGAGGGCACAACATCTGTATGTTGTGAACAAAGTGAAGGGGCAAGAAATTAATGAAAACTGTTCTTTTTATGAAATATCCATGCTGTCATTTAGTAGTTACTGTGGCACTTACCCCATGGCTCCTGCTTGTTTTACCAAATGCAGGGCTCACCCGAGTATCCCAACACGCCCTTTAACACGCTGCCACCAGTTGATCTATTATCAGCCTATATTTCCTATGAAAGACTGAGGTCCATTCAGTACTGAACTTTTAAACAGAAACAAGTTTATTGATTGCAAATTGTTTTAGGGATAGTTCTTAAGCACATTCTTAAAGTTACACAAAGCTTCAGTACAGTGGTGCCTCGAATAGCGAGCGCTTCGATTACCGACTAAATTGAATAGTGATTAGTTTTTCAGGGCATTTTTGTGCTTTGATTAGTGATGTTTCCTAAGGGGGATTTTCGACTAGCGATGGTTGGGACCATGCTTCTAATAGCGATTACATTTAGGTCCTCTGTTTTTGATTAGCATTCGCTGGCAGGCGAGTAGGCGGGCGGGCGGGCTGAAATCACGCGGACTCACCTCTCACCGCCCCTGGCCTCCTCGCTGCGCGGCCCTTCCCTGCGCTGCCCTGGCTGCCCGCTGGCACGGAAGAGTTAAGCAACGAAGGGGGGGGAGGCCGGCTGTCAGGAGAGAGCAAGTATGGGTCCCTTTTCCGGGCTCATTTGATCTCCTCCGGCGGCGGCCGCAACGACAGCAGCTCT